TGAAAAGCAGAACCAACTTAGCTTAGGGAAAAGCACATTACTCTCTGTATAGGAATCACCTCTCAAAGGTTAAGGATGCACCCCATATCCCTCAAATCTTGCCTTTAAGTTCTATTCCTAAATCTTTTTTGAGCCTACTTATGTTTTCAGCTAGTATTTACAGGCGTAGTCCCTGGAGGCCGGGCACTGTGGCTCATGCCTGTAATCCTAGCACTTTGGGAGGCTGAGGCAGGCAGATCACTTGAGGTTAGGAGTTCAAAACCAGCCTAACATGGTGAAATCCCATCTCTACTAAAAATACAAAAAATGAGCCGGGTGTGGTGGCACACACCTGTATTCCCAACTACTTGGGAGGCTGAGGCAGGAGAATCATGTGAACCCGGAAGCAGAGGTTGCAGTGAACTGAGATTGCACCACTGCATGCCAGCCTGGGCGACAGAGGGAGACTCGGTCTCACACACACAAAAAAAGTATAGTCCCTGGAGGAATAGAAAGATTTTAATTCCTAAGGAGGGAGCCCAAAGTGCTTCCTGGAAGCTTAAGGTACACGAGAAGGATGGGTCCTCTACTTGCGGTTTCATCTTATTACCTTGTGGTGGGGGTGCTTCATAGGCACTAACTTTGACTTTGTGTGAATCCATTTTTGCTATTTCATATTAGAATAATAAAGCAAAAAAGTAGAAAGGTGGTTTATGATGGGAGTGGGCATGGTTTTGACTTTACAAATAAAATAGCATTTAAAATTTTTACATTTAAACTTTATGGGCCATGTATAGGGTGAAGATGTAAGCATGGGCATCTGGATGGCAGCCATAGGACCTAAAAGATACCAGGTAAGTCTTTGGGGATGGCCTCAGGCTTCTTAAGAGTTGAGGAGGTGAGATTTCTATATACAGGTTGAGTGTCCTTTATCCAAAATGCCTGGGATCAGAAGTATTGAGGATTTCAGATTTTTTTGGATTTTAGAATTGCATTATACTTACAAGTTCCACATCCCAAATCTGAAAACTGAAATGCTTCAGTGAGCATTTCCTTTGAGTGTCATGTTGGCTCTCAAAAAGTTTTGGGCTTGGCATAGTGGCACATGCCTGTAATCCCAACACTGGGAGGCCAAGGTGGGCATTATCACTTGAGCTCAGGAGTTCAAGACCAGCCTGGGCAACATGGCAAAACTCTCATCTCTACAAAAAGTACAAAAAAATTAGCTGGGCATGGCAGCGCCTGCCTGTGGTCCCAGCTGCTCAGGAGGCTAAGGTAGGAGGATCAACTTAAGCATGGGAGGTCGAGGGTGCAGTGAGCTGTGAATGCACCACTGCACTCCCACCTAAGAATAGAGTGAGAGAGACTCTGTCTCAAAAAAAAAAAAAAAGAAAAAGTTTTGGATTTTGGAGCATTTTAGATTTCAAATTTTCAGATTTGGAGTGCTCAGCCTGTAATGTATATCACACCATGGGCAGAAAGAATGAGGATCTTCTACCATAATAGCTACGCTGTTGCTTTAATTCACAATAATCCAGCTAGGTTATTTCTCATACAGTTTTTTTCTGAGTTTAAAGCAAAAGGTTATAAATGAAAGTTCCCCTACCTACAAAAAATTCAGTTTCCATAGATTTGATCAGAAATTATTTTCAGCTTTAAAACTTTAAATTATTTTCAGCTTTAAAACAACAGAAGGCTGGGCGTGGTGGCTCTGGGCGCCTGTAATCCCAGCACTTTGGGAGGCTGAGGTGGGCGGATCACGAGGTCAGGAGATGGAGACCATCCTGGCTAACACGGTGAAACCCCATCTCTACTAAAAATACAAAAAAATTTAGCCGGGTGTAGTGGCAGGCGCCTGTAGGCCCAGTTACTCGGGAGGCTGAAGCAGGAGAATGGCATGAACCCGGGAGGCGGAGCTTGCAGTGAGCCGAGATCATGCCACTGCACTCCAGCCTGGGCGACAGAGCGAGACTCCGTCTCAAAAAAAAACAAAAAATAGTAACGACAGAATCCACTGATTTGAGTGTGGCAGTCTAAGGGTCCTTCAACCCTTCTGACCGATACAAAGGAGACACTGCATGAAATATAAGACATCATTTAAAACACACTATTGCTGAACCAGAAAAAAAAATGAATCTGCAGAAACCAAAATGGAAACTAGAGACCTGGGAAGAAACCAAGCACAAAGCTGACTTTAGCTTTAGAGATTTCTGTTGAGTTCTGGATTCTTGCAGCTTGCACTTTGGCCATCGAAGGTGCAGGGGACAGAAGGCACATGCAGTGTTTGTCAGTTAGAAGCCCAGCATAGAGCTGGGGCCCCAGAGCAGCTCTCAGAAGTCAGCCCACATCTATGTAGTCCACTTTGATAGTCCGATTCCTTTGTTGTACTTTCAGTCTCATCTTTGAATAGAATTATTTTTGTATCTGGTAACTCTGGGATCTGTAGTCTTTGCTGGGTCTGATTCTGCAGTTTCCTGTTTCTACAGACTGTTGTTCATGGGGCTTGTTTTCTGATGTGTTGAAGAGTTGTTTTTGTGTTTTTTGTTTTTTTTTTGTGACCGTGTTGTCTTTGGAAACTGAGTCCTTATTTAAAATGCATTCCTACAGAGGATTTACATTTTTTTCTACCATGCACTAGGAAAACTACCATCTATGAATACTTCAGATTTTTGACTTGGAACTGTTGGGCTTACACAGACTGACTACCAGCCCCAGACCTACCTAAGTGCAAGCTGTGGGTAGGCGCTCGGGGGAGAGAGACTCCTTTCCATCCCACTGAGGGGCGAGACTGAGACAGACAAGCCGAGTTTGTTTTCTTATATACCCCCTGAGGCTGTGGCCCCTCAGAGATCCTAGCTCTGTGTCAGTCTCCCATTAGTCTCCTGTCCCTGGGCTTGGCCTTTCATAACCCAAGGATCAGCAGCCGCCTTCAGGACACATGCTGACTCAGCACTTTCTCCTACGGGTTTCTTCTTTCTTCATGGAGTTCTGCCATGCTTTATAAAGGTGTTTCATTTTGCCCAACATTTTTGTGTTGTCAAAACATTGAATGAGTTTCTGTGTTCTGCTATATTGCTGAAAACAGAAGCCAATTCATGTAGCTAGGAAATAGTCTAGTGGTTAAGAACTTGAGCTTGGGAGTCTAATCTCTCCTCTTCATTTACCAGCCCTGTGACCTTGAACAAGTTACTTAACTCTTAGTTTGTTCCTCAGTTGTAAGAGGGAAATAGCTCCTACCTCACAGCGTTACTGTGAGAATTGAGTGAAATATTTACAAAGTGCTTGGGTAGAGTCCCCACAATATTGTAAGCATTCCATCAGAATAATAGCTGTTATTAATACTGCCATAGACACACCTTTAATAGCAAACACGAAACTCACTTGTGGTTTCTAAAATCATTCATTACAGAATTGCATTTGTTGACTAACTCTTCATCCACACACTGCCTTGTTTCTGTATTCCACAGCCACAGGACTGTGGGACCTGGTGTTTTCCCCAATCAGGAGGTGCCACCCCCAAACCTCACCAGTTGGTCCACACATGGAGTTATCCTTGAAGTAATTTCAGCATCATTCGAATAGATAAAAACTGTCTACATGCAGACTTTCTGACACTCTTAAAACAGTTTCACCACTCTCAGATCGGCTTTGGTTGTTTTTCAACAGGACAGCCTGTGGCTGTGTGAGAAGACCTGTGAGACAGGAATGCTCTCTTCTCCTCAGTATTCTCCATGGGAACTGACAGAACTGTGGAAACTGAAGGAACGGTGCGGTGATCCTTGTCGGTGTGAAGCAAGATAACAGGGACTTGAATTAGCAGCATCTAAAATCAGGGCAGGCAAACGATAATCTGAGTGCAAGTCTGAGGTGTCCCAGGGCTTAGCAGTAGACTGTATGGTCTTTCAAGAGACTTCCAGACTGGCACTTTCACCCAGAACCAATGCGGTATTTCTTAATGTTTGCACAAATTTTCTTCTTAAAAATCAACTGGTACTGTAGCATAAGAAAAGTTTATATATTGGAATATTATCAGAAAAATACCAAGTTATTTTATAAAAAAAAAAATATTTCTAAATCCTGATGCATTGTGGCTAATTAGTAATCACCATTACCTGTAATTTTTGGTTAAAACTTGGCCCAGTTCAGAATCTGTAGTAGTAACTGAGAGTTTGAATTTCAACCTGGATTGCAGGATAGCTCTGTAGAGTTTAATGAGGATAATTATCAGACAAAAAGAACTCACAGGAATGCTGTGTGATCATGTGATCACATATTTGAGCAGTGGTCACTTATACCAAAGTTTGGGGTTTCTGGAAATAACGTCAGATTTTGTGGATCTCTGAAGTGGGCAACTTGAACTTGAAGAGGAACCAGTATGATTCTCAGTTCTGAACCTTGGTTTTAAAGAAGTCCATTTATACGGTAGACTAATATCCAAGTTTTCTTTCTGCCATCTAACCTAAATCCTGAAGGTCACAGCTTCGTACTCATAGTTTTTAAATGCTAAATTTTTGTGAGTATGAATAAAAGCAAATACCTCTCAGGGTTTTAGTGGCATCGGGAAGGATATTTCTAAATTGTTGACAGTTTGAAAGAATTAGTTTTGCTTTCCTCCTATCATTGCCTAAAGTTTACCTAATATGAGTACATTTCAATCAGAGCTGGTTATCTTCTACACAAGAAGATACACTCAGCTTAGGTATAATTGTAGGGAAAAGCATGTGATTAAGTACTCTTAGAAAATAGTGCAACTGAGAAGACAGATAATAGCATATTGTTATACACAGTAGAGGATGTGTCTCCCCAAGTTTAAGGGACATTTCCCAAAATGACCAGCCAAATCGTTTTAGTAACCCTTTAAAATAGTAGTATCAATAGAGAATTCCATTAAAACTAGTCTTATGACAGACATTAACTGTGTTCAGATTTTATTAGGCTAGCTAGTTTCTATTTAATATTTAAATCTTATCATGAAATGCAGTGACGAACTGTAAAAATAAATATGAAATACGATCAGAAAATTGTTAGTAGGTTCAAAGCCTTTATTACTGCTATTATGTATAAGCCTAGAAATGGTCGCTTCCCAACAAAAACTACATCAGTGGTGAAAATAAATCCCTTGTTATCCTTAGGGCAAGTTGTAAACCCCTTTGTTTTTGACAGAATTGTTCCAGTGGATCATTTATTTCCGATGAACCCCAGACATGATAAGCAGTGTAGTCTCTAAATTTTATTAGTTGGTTGTTACCATCGCACTAATAGACAATCTTCATTTTCCACAGAATAAAAACGTAATGACTGTAGGTCATTTTCCAGCTTGATTTCTATGCCCGGCTCCTAAAATTAGAAGGAAGGTAGGGAAGGATGTGATTAAGACAGATCTGATAAAGCATGTTACACATACTCTATCCCACCCCGTCCCCAGGCAGTAGCTTACCCTTAAAATCAAACAGATCTATGGTCTCTATTTAGAATCAAACTGTTGCTATCTAGAGACAGTTTAATGTCATCATGAGGACGAAGCTTGACTTTGTTTTTTCCTGGGCAACTTACTTTTGGACTTTCATAGGACAACAGAAGGTCTGACACAGGAACTTTGAGAAGACGTGACAGCCATCCCTTCACCTTTTGAATTGTCATGGAGCCTATCAAAAGAAAAGTCCATTCGTTCTCTCAAATGACACTTACTTGTAAAACTAGCTCATGTGATGAGACCACAGTATCATTGCAATGATAGCTGTATCTGTCTTTTTTTTTTTTTTTTGGAGACCGTCTCGCTCTGTTGCCCAGGCTGGAGTGCAATGGTGCAATCTCGGCTCACTGCAACCTCCACTTCCCGGGTTCAAACGATATCTCCTGCCTCAGCCTCCCGAGTAGCTGGTGCCCGTCACCACACCCAGCTAACTTTGGTATTTTTAGTAGAGACAGGGTTTCACCATGTTGGCCAGGCTGGTCTCAAACTCCTGACCTCGTGATCCGCCCTGGCCTCCCAAAGTGCTGGGATTACAGGCGTGAGCCCAGGGCCTGGCCGTATCTGTCATTTTACCCAAGTCACTTTACCCAAGTAAGTAATTAGGGGAAAGCCTGAGTCTTTGCACCACCTGTTCATTTGGGGAACTGTGGGAAACGGAGCCAACGGACCTAAGTGCCCTTTGACAGTGAGTTTCATACCATTTCAGTAGTGTATTTCTTTCTTAATCTGAATAAACCAGAATGATACTCTCAGCACAGAATAAAAATGGGAGTGAGTCATTAACGTTTTCTTTTTAAGCCTTTGTGATGACTTCCTTATGAATTACCGAACAAACACTGGAATGGGACTCAGGTATCCTGAGGACATCTCTCAAGTCTGGCCTTAGTTCCTCCTCTGTAAAATGAGGGTGTCGACTAAATGATCTACAAGGTCCGTTCCAGCACCGCCATTCTGTAATTATGTCATGTGTAACTGTGTTAAACATACACAGGTGACTGCCAGGCATGGGAATGTAACTTCCGAGTCAACGCTTTGGCTTGTTCAGAATACACTATGAACTTCTTTCCAAAGATGGGTTGTGGTAAATAGTGGATATTTTGATTATGAGAAACAGAGTTTCCTTGAAGCTTTAGCTGGGGATACAGCAATAGTGTGGTGTTCCTACAAATATCACAGTGTATTCAAACATATTTTTCTATCAAAAATCATTTTTGTAAAAGCTGTGTGTTTTTATGCAACTTGTGATAATAAATGTTATCTTTATTTTAGAATAAAAACTGGCCTTTTTGTATGTATTGAATACAGTTAATAGAATGTACAATTTTAATTAACAAAATTTGCTCTTTCATGTGTGAATATGTGATAGTCTAGTCCTTTCAAAAGATTTAGATGGACTGGCTTTCATTGTTGGAGCCTGGTTAGAGAAGGGGTTAACTAACTGCTGCACACCAGTGGGAAATGACATCCTCCTAACACATGACAGAAACAGAAAGTTTGGTCATAAAACAATTCTAATAAGAAATCCGCCTGGCCTGCTCACACCTGTAACCCCAGCACTTTGGGAGGCAGAGGGATCAAAGCCCAGGAATTCGAGACCAGCCTGGGCAACATGAGGATACCCCATTTCTACAAAAAATAAAAAATTAGCCAAGCATAACAATGTACGCCTCTAGTCCCAGCTACTTGGGAGGATCACTGGAGCCCAGGAGGTCAAGGCTACAGTGAGCCATGATCGCGCCACTGTACTCCATCCAGCCTGGGTAACAAAGTGAGCCCTGTCTCAAAAAAAATCTGCCTACTCATAATGGTTCTATAGAAGAAAGTAGCAATTTGTATGTAATAAATAGCATTACCATTTTTAATATACTAACATGACTGTCTTAGCATTCAGAAAATATGGAAATAGCTAATTATTTCTTTTTACTGCCTATGACCAATGTTAAAAATTTGAGAGGTTTACCTCTAGGCCTTTTTTTCTATGTTCATATAAGGATGTATAGGTTTTAAGCCAGGCGCAGTGGCTCACGCCTGTAATCCCAACACTTTGGGAGGCTGAGGTGGGCAGATCACCTGAGGTCAGGAGTTTGAGACCAGCCTGGCCAACATGGAGAAACCCTGTCTCTACTAAAAATACAAAAATTAGCCGGGCGTGATGGCGGGTGCCTGTTAACCCAGCTACTTGGGAAGCTGAGGCAGGGAGAGTTGCTTGAACCCGGAAGGCAGAGTTTGCAGTGAGCCAAGATCATGCCACTGCACTCTAGCTTGGGTGACAGAATGAGACTCCATCTCAAAAAAAAAAAAAAAAAAAAAAGGATGTATAGGTTTTATAATATATTGACCTACTACATTTGTATTTCTTTATGACATGATGGTACAGCTTTTCATGCCAATTCCATGCCATGTCCTCTAGACATACACTGCCCAATATGGCAGCCACATGTGGTACTGAGCACCTGGAATGCGGCGAGTATGACTGAAGAACTGAATTTTATTTTAATGAATTTAAATAGCCACATGTGGTTATTGCAGTCACAGTGGACAGCGCAGCTCTAGACCTGCTTCATTCTCCTCAGTGACACAATGTGCCTTGTGTGCTGTGTGGTTCTACCAGAGCTTATTCACCATTCCCCCACTGGCAAGTATTTAGATTCTTCTTATCTTCACCATCACAAATGCTGCAAGACACAATGCTTGGTCAGAGCATACGTGTATTTTTAACTTTGTACAGTAATTCCCACATGACTTTACAAAAAGGGTATACTGCTTTTTCATGCCAGCCAGTATTATTTTAATTTTGCTAATCTAATGGATTAAAAAAATGGTATTGCTTTTTTTTTTTTTTTCATTTTAGATAGGGTCTCACTCTGTCACCCAGGCCAGATTGCAGTGGCTCAATCACAGCTCACTGCAGCCTCAACTTCCCGGGCTCAAGCCATCCTCCCACCTCAGCTGCCCAAGTAGCTGGGACTACAGGCTTGCACCACCACACCCAGCTAATTTTTGTATTTATTTATTTTTGTAGAGATGGGGTTTCACCATGTTGCTCAGGTTGGTCTCGAACTCCTGGGCTCAAGCAATTTGCCCACCTTGGCCTCCCAAAGTGCCAGGATTACAGGTGTGAGCCACTATGCTTGGCTATTACTTTTCTTTTTAGAAGACGTTTACCTATGGTAGTGGTTAAATATTCGCAGCATGTGGCATAAGAATTAGTATTAAGAACCTTTGTATGAACGAGTGAGTGAGTGCACATTTGAGGAACAGAAAAGCAAATTAAAAAGGGGGAAAAAAGAACGCTCACAATCTGCTGGCTTACTGCTGAGTTTATAGAATACAGGACTCAGACTCTGAATGTTGAAAATAGTAATTCTTACATATAATTTCTATGGATAGTCGAATCTCTGCAGCTCTACCCGAAGATTAATAAAAACAGCATGAATGCAGTGGGTGTCCCCAAAATGGCTAACTGAATCTCAGAAGACCTGGGATACCAGTCAGGTGTACAGTGTGGAAGTAGAGAAGGGTAAGGTGGCACTGTCACCCCCAGCCAAGGGCTGCATTCAGGCATATGCCCAGATGACAGGACTTGACAGGTCTACCTCAGTGCCTTCCAGAGGAAGACTGCAGAGGAAAGCTTAACGAAGCAGGTCTGATGACAATATTCTTGAGCAAATACTCCATAGTGGTGACATTCCCATTAATTGATTTGACGTATCTGCAAAGGCAAAAGGAAACACGCAAAGACATCGAAGGCCAAAAACACAGAAAGTCCTGACCCTCCAGGCACGGTGGCTCACACCTATAATCCCAGCACTTTGGGAGGTGATGATAGGAGAACAGCTTGAGCTCAGGAGTTTGAGGCCAGCCTTAACATAGCGAGGCTTCATCTCTACTAAAAATCAAAAAACTAGCAGGGTGTGGTGGTTCGTGCCTATAGTCCCAGCTACTCAGGAGGCGGAGATGGGAGGATCACTTGATGATCAAGGTGATGGAGCCTGCAGTGAGCCGAGATGGCACCACTGCACTCCAGCCTGAGTGACAACCAGACCCCGTCTGAAAAACGATAAAAAAAAAAAACAGTCCTGGCCCTCTTTGACTAGTCTGTGTCCACCAGGGCCTTTACTGGCAGTATTTAAGTTTGAAAACAGAATAATGAAGGGGGAAATCACTAATTCTAATCCATTATATAGCAGTAGCCAAATTACGTATTACAGGAGTAGAAACTAGATTGTGAATAAATAAAAATGGAGACGTTCTGGTAAATTAACACTAAATGGATGGTTATCAATCAGAAAGCTACTTCTCTGAACACAACTAAAGCCTTCTTTATATAAGCAACACCATGATAAGCTTGCTTTATCTGATAGAAACTAATTTAAAAATCAATGGGAATTCACTGCACTGACGGGCAAACAAACCCAGTGTACTAGAGTCATTAAGCTGATGTGTATTTCATTTATTTAAATCCTCACTGCTCTAAATTTACCGTTTATATTTTAGCAGTTAGCTATGAGTCAAGTTTAATCTTGAGAATTCACAGTATCATGGCAAACTCAAAAATAGACTATAATTTCATTTTTATTTTGAGTGAAAGTTTAAGGTAAGTTATGTTGATCTAATTTATTGACACAAGCATATTTATTTTCCAAATAAAAGTAATTCAGTTCCAGTAGCACTTTTTTTTTTTTTTTTTTTTTTTTAAGTTCTAAGGTAGTTTTCCCAAAACCATTTCAGGGTGTCCATTAAAAGAGCATCTACAGATTGTTTTTGCAGGGACTCCTGATCCGTCAGGAGCAGAAGTAGAAAGTAAGCAAAGTCACAAACCTCCCATAAGAATTCAGTTCACCAGGACACAGCTCCTCTCTTATGAAGGGATGAGAAGCAGACCCCAAACCCAGTGTCACAGTCTCCCTGGAAACAGCAACAGGCTTGGGGAATGCTTCTGAAAGTCTATGCCATTCAAGATCTCAGGCTTTTGGTTAAAAATACAATTTAGGCCAACTGCAGTGGCTCATGCCTATAACCCCATCACTTTGGGAGGCTGAGGCAGGCGGATGGCTTTGAGCTCAGGAATTCGAGACCAGCCTGGGCAACGTGGTGAAACCCATCTCTACAAAAAATACAAAAATTAGCCGGGCGTTGGTGGCTCGCACCTGTAGTCCCAGCTACATGGAGGCCGAGGCTGGAGAAATGCTTGAGCCTAGGAAGCAGAGGCTGCTGTGGGCTGAGATGGTGCCACTGCACTCCAACCTGGGTGACAGAGGCCCTGTCTCAAAATAAGATTGTGTGTGTGTGTGTGTGTGTGTGTAATTATATGCAGGGGCTTCCAATTTTAACAAAACTGCTTTCAGCTGATAAAGTTATGGGAGACCTGAACTTTTGGGGGCATGGGGGAGTGAATTAGCATGATTGATTGTATTTTAGAATATAAAAGACTAATGAAAACCTCTAAGCTCTGAGGTCCACACTTTGAGACATGAGTTAAAGGTTTTAATTTTAGCTGACTCATACCTAGGCCGATGATTCAGAGTTTAAGGAAAAGATAGGCTCATTTTTCTTACCCGGCAGTTGTTTCTCTAGGACTTTCTGATCAAGTTGATCAGGGTATTTTATCTTCAGTGCTTTAAGAGAAACAAAGAAAAAGACTAATTGATATCTACTATTATATGGATTTAAATTATCCACACACATCAACAGATGGCCAAATGATAGAGCTATGCAGTGCAAACTGGCAGGTCTAATCAATGTTTAAAATCCTTCCATGAATTGCTAACAACAACAAAAATAGCTGGACGCCACTTTCCCTTTTCCCTGCTTAGTGCTTCTTTCCTGATCCCTCTCCCTGCTTAGTGCTTCTTTCCTGACAGCTTGGACAGGTTTTCAAGTCATAAATTCACAAATCACAATTTGGTTCACAACTCCATTACCTCCCACATTTATAACACTATTAAATGAGTTTAAAACATAGGAGTTGCAAAAATGTATAAGAATTTAGATATGTTTTAAAGAATTCATTTCTTTGGGTGTGGTGGCTCACGCCTCTAATCCCAGCATTTTGGGAGGCCAAGGCAGGTGGATCTCCTGAGGTCAGGAGTTCGAGACCAGCCTGGACAACATGGTTAAACCCCGTCTCTACTAAAAATACAAAATGAGCTGGGCATGGTGGCGCATGCCTGTAATCCCAGCTACCTGGGAGGCTGAGGCAGGAGAATCACTTGAACCCGGGAGGTGGAGGCTGCCGTGAGCCGAGATCGTGCCACTGCACTCCAGTCTGGCAACAAGAGCAAAACTCCATCTCAATTTAAAAAAAAAAAAAGTTAGCTGGGCGTGGTGGTGTATGCCCATAGTCCCAGTTACTCCAGAGGCTGAGGCGGGAGAATCACTTAGAACCTGGGAGGCAGAGGTTGCAATGAGCTGAGATCACGCCACTGCACTCCAGCCTGGGGGACAGAGGGAGACTATCTCAAAAAAAAAAAAAGAATTCTTTTAAAACTCAAAGCATTTACTTAAGTACTTAAGAGATACACACTTAAACACACTATCTGTTTTGGCACCTAAGGACTCAAATACAAATAAACTATTTGAATCTGAGCGTCTTACTTAGTAGCTGGTTTTTGAGCATAAATGGTTGTTGTGTTTTGAGTTCCCAATCTTCAGGTGCACCATATTCTGTTTAAGAAATCAAAAGAGATGAATGATAAACCAAAGGCCACTATAAGGAGAAAAAAAAAAAAAAAGCATAGGTAAGTATCCAGACAGCCTGTGCCTTTCCCAGGACACATGGAGCTGCCTTTATTCAGTGTGATTTTTAGGAGTGATGGACAACAACCACTCCTAAGGGCACAATCGTCTGTCTACTCAGAGCTGCAGACTCTGTAACTTACCTGGCTCATTGTTAACGACCAGTGAAACTCAACAGAAGACAATACATGAAAAGCAGCGTGTTGACACGTGTATTACATCATTGTTCCTCAGGTGTCCTCACTCAAACTAGCAAGAGAAGACTGCCCTCAAATACTTCAAATGTTTTCCCCAAGTGTCACCTTTGGTAACAGTTCTTTCTGCGCTGAGAGAAACCTGGTGCCACCTGAGACACAATCCACAAGACACCTTCCCCAGGTTTCAACCAGACCGTGCAGTGCCAGGCTGGGCGCTCAGTACCACACTGCAAAGCAGTTCCTCGGCCGGGACCACGGCCTCCATAGAAGAGGAAAGCAGAATTTTTTCCTGCTCTATGCCAAACAGTGACAGAATTTCTCTAAATCCCCCTGTATCTGTGCTTTTGTCTTCTAGCATTCTGAGCAGTGAATACTCAACAATACCTGGCCAGCTGCTTCAGAATCTTCCCTTGCCCACCCCCAAGTGATTTAGAATTCAAGGAGCGGAGCGTGGCCAGGAAATTGGGCCGGCTAATGGAGTCATTTGAAAGTGATTCCTCCAGGCTGCTTTTCTTCCTTAAAGACACTGTTCAAGCCTAAAGCGTTTATGCAGTGAGCTGCTTGCATTAAGAAATATAAAAAAGGAAAATCACATGAAAGCGAAATGTGGAATAATAATGAAGGCAAAACAAAATGGAAAGTACATCAGGGACAAAGACTCATGAATTCTTAGCTTCAAAGCCTGAAGAACCAGGCTGGAGGATTTAACGAACCACTGTGCATGCCAAGTGCCAGCCTTGGTAGTGAGCCCTGGGGATGAGAGCTTACTGCAGAACTACACTCTCATGCGAACTTTCCTGTTCACTAGAACTACCTGTGGGGCTATAAAAAAAACGGATGCCGGCCGGGCACAGTGGCTCTCGCCTGTAATCCCAGCACTTTGGGAGGCCAAGGCGGGCAGATCACCTGAGGTCAGGAGTTTCTGAGACCAGCCTGGCCAATCTGGTGAAACCCCATCTCTACTAAAAATACAAAAAAATCAGCCAGGCGTCGTAGCAGACGCCTGTAATCCCAGCTCCTCAGGAGGCTGAAGCAGGAGAATCGCTTAAACCCAGCAGGTAGAGGTTGCAGTGAGCCGAGATCGCGCCATTTCACTCCAGTCTGGACAACAGGAGTGAAACTCTGCCTCAAAAAAAAAAAAAAAAAAAAAAAAATAGGGATGCCTCAGAGATAAACTGGAGTGCTTCCTACCCTTTCTACAGTGGAGCATGGTGCACCACCTGAAACCTAGTGAACATGTGCAAAGAGAAGAACCTATATTTAAGAAGTGCTTTCCTGGCCAGGCGCGGTGGCTCACCCCTGTAATCCCAGTGCTTAGGGAGGCCGAAGTGGGCGGATCACGAGGTCAGGAGATCGAGACCATCCTGGCTAACATGGTGAAACCCCATCTCTACTAAAAATACAAAAAATTAGCTGGGTGTGGTGGTGGGTGCCTGTAGTCCCAGCTACTCGGGAGGCTGAGGCAGGAGAATGGCGTGAACCCGGGAGGTGGAGCTTGCAGTGAGCCAAGATCATGCCACTACACTCCAGCCTGGGCGACAGAGCGAGCCTCCTTCTCAAAAAAAAAAAAAAGAAGTGCTTTCCCGGCTGGGCGTGGTGGCTCATGCCTGTAATCCCAGCACTTTGGGAGGCTGAGGCAGGCAGATCACAAAGTCAGGAGTTCAAGGCCAGCCTGGCTAGCATGATGAAACCCCATCTCTACTAAAAATACAAAAAAAATTAGCCAGGCATGGTGGCGCATGCCTGTAATCCCAGCTTCTCAGGAGGCTGAGGCAGGATAATTGCTTGAACCTGGGAGGCGGAGGTTGCAGTGAGCCAATACTGCACCACTGTACTCCAGCCTGGGCAACAGAGCGAAACTCCGTCTCAAAAAAATATATACAAAAATTAGGCATAGTGGTGCGCACCTGTAGTCCCAGCTACTCTGGAAGCTGAGGCAGGAGAATCACTTGAACCCAGGAGGTGGAGGTTGCAATGAGCTGAGATTGTGCCACTGCATTCCAGCCTGGGTGACAGAGCAAGACCCTGTCTCAAGAAAAGAAAAAAAAAAAGAAAAAGAAGTGCTTTCCTGCCGGGCATGGTGTCTCACACTTATAATCCCAGCACTTGGAGAAGCTGAGGTGGGTGGATCACTTGAGGTCAGGAGTTCGAGACCAGCCTGGCCAATATGGTGAAACCCCATTTCTACTAACAATACAAAAATTAGCTGGGCATGGTAGCGGGCGCCTCTAATCCCAGCTACGCGGGAGGCTAAGACAGGAGAATAACTTGAACCCGGGAGGCAGAGGTTGCAGTGAGATCACTCCAGCCTGGGCGACAGAGCAACACTCCATCTCTTAAAAATAAAAAAATTGCGTTCCCTTCCCCAAATGCAACTCTCTCCGTTTCAGGAACATACACAGTCTCCTAGGTTCCTCCTGCTGAGAGACACTGCTCTTACCCTGCTGCCCTCGCCCCAGGAAAGTACCTATAGTCCATTCAGATGAACAGAAAAAGCCCAGGAAAGGAAGGGCAAAAGCAACACTGAGAACCTCTTTTGATACCCAAGGGAACACTTTGTTCCAGCGGGAAATCCGCCCCCTGCAGGCCACCAGCGTATACGCACGTACTCAGGCAGAGGAACTGGTATCTAGGATGGGCTCTGAGGAATTCTTCGCTGAGTCTGTTTTTGTCCGGATCCTGATGTCCACCAGCCTGTTTCCACTCATTTCCAAAAGCTTTTCGATAGTCAAGCTCAGCTGTCCGCCTCTCCTTGGGGAGAATCTATGTTGGTGTGACATAAAAACAAATCTGTTAGAAAGACTTTTTCTAACAAGTCCTTTGCATTTTGCACTTTGTCCTTCCTCCACAGCACATGCAGAGAATAATCACATTGAGAGGGACAAGATATAGTTTTCACTCTTCTTTTTAACACTGACAGAACTCAGGGGTTTATTAGAAAAGAAAAAAGAATTTGTTTTACACTTTTTTTTAAAAATTTGAGATGGAGTCTCGCTCTGTTGCCCAGGCTAGAGTACAGTGGTGTGATCTCAGCTCACTGCAACTTCCGCCTCCCAGGTTCACGTGATTCTCCTGCCTCAGCCTCTGGAGTAGCTGGGATTACAGGCGCCCGCCACCACGCCCGGCTAATTTTTTTGTATTTTTAGTAGAGACAGGGTTTCACCGTGTTAGCCAGATGGTCTCGGTCTCCTGACCTCATGATCCACCAACCATGGCCTCCCAAAGTGCTGGGATTACAGGCGTGAGCCACCATGCCTGGCCTACGCTTTTAATTCATGAGAGTACTTGCACGTAGGCCAGTTTCAGGACTATGCCAGGTACCTTGGGTCACCTCCTCGAGGTCTGCCTGGAGGCGCCTGCCCTGGTGGAGCTGACTGACTCCCAGTGAATGCACAAAAGTGCTGGCAAGGACAAGGCATGGGCTTCCCACTTTTATGGGGAAGAGTAGCTGAGAAGGACAAGAGAAAGCAGCTCTGTGGTTCGGTTCTTTCTGCCTACATTCCCTGAAAACATGGAGAAGCTGCCTGGGATTCCTCAAATGGAGAAGCTGCCTGGGATTCCTCAAACGACGCGCACTGATGTCGCTGCTCTCTCCTGAGGAGCTGGAAAAGAACCGTTATTATGAAACTGCACAAGGCTGATCTTTTACCATTCCGAGGAAAGCTACATCTCACCTCCTTTACAATATTCAAAAACAATTTCTTTTTACTTTTTTTTTTTTAATTAAGACAGGGTCTCACTCCACTGCCCAGGCTGGAGTGCAGTGGCATTTTCATGGCTCACTGCAGCCTTGGCCTCCCGGGCTCAGGTGGTTCTTCCACCCCAGCCTCCTGAGCAGCTGGGACTACAGGCACTTACAGGCGTGTAACACCACACAGCGAATTTTTGTATTTTTTGTAGAGATGGGGTTTCACCAGGTTGCTCAGGCTGGTCTCGAACTCCTGGACTCCAACGATCAGCCTGCCTCAGCCTCCCAAAGTGCTGGGATTACAGGCGTGAGCCATGGCGCATGGCCTAAAATCATTTCTAGTCTAAAAAATAGCTAGTCACGACGCCAGTGCTCACCTCACATTTGTTCAGGGTCTTCAGCTGGCCAATGCTGGCAATAATGAGCTGCCGCGTCATGTTTGCTTCTTTGTCCTCCTTGGTCAGGGGGTTTCTTAGGCAGGACAAAGCCCGTAGACTTGGTAACTTGTCTAGCTCATTGAAAAATGACCACTGAAACACAGCAAAAGGAAATAAATGAAAAGCAGTATGTTTCGTGCTACTTTTGCAGAAGTTTGAACCAGCGACAGGAAAGCAAGTCCCTACTTCTAATCTGAGGCAGGGAATTTCATCATGCACCAAGCAACCCCCTCTAGAAAGATCACATACTTTCACTCTTTTTTTTTGAGACGGAGTTTCGCTCGTTTCCCAGGCTGGAGGGCAATGGTGCAATCTTGGCTCATCGCAGCCTCTGCCTCCGAGTTCAGGCGATTCTCCTGCCTCAGCCTCCCAAGTAGCTGGGATTACAAGCATGTGCCGCCATGCCCAGCTAATTTTGTTTTTTGTTTTTTTTAGTAGAGATGGGGTTTCACCATGTTAGTCAGGCTGGTCTCGAACTCCCAACCTCAGGGGATCCGCCCGCCTCGGCCTCCCAAAGTGCTGGGAATATAGGCGTGAGCCACCACGCCCAGCCACTTTTACTCTATTAATGTGCCATTTGAGTGTGAAGTCCACTTAGGTATGAAGTGAACTAATTTCTTTCTTAATATTTTTGGCTTCATATGAGGAGTTCCACGCTGAGGAGGCATTTCTCTTTTGATTTAGGTTTTTTTTTTTTTTTACTTTTTGGTAGAAGGAACCTCCGAACTCTGCCGTGACAACGGAAAGAGGCAACAGTGTGCTGGGCATACTCCGAAGCAGCTCTTACTTGTGATATCTGATTGTCATTTACTACAAGGTACTGCAAGGACGGGAACATGGAGGTTTTGCACCCTATAAAAAGAGGAATGAAGTTACACAGTAGAAGTGAAAGATGTAGCTAAAGTATAGTATGGGGGGGGTGGGATGGAACTTTACTAATCTTATATACCAATTCCAGCATCCGGAAAATGTATAGAAGAAATTCCAATGTCAGAGAGGATTAATTGTTCTAACCTAAAAATCAAAATGTAAAATTTGATTACACAGAACAATCTAAAATGCTATAGGGTATCAACCAGACTCGGTTTGTAAATTTTTTTCTACACCCTAGGTTTTTAATCCCATGTAAAATACTTAGAAACCATGAAGTCCAACTTAGGACATGCAAAGTGAACTCTTTATCCTATATTCTAATGACTCTATAGTCACCTAATGGTTCTTGAGTACCTACTGCTATGTCAGGTGCTAAACACATCTCAGAGGAAAGAGACACGGTCTACTGCCCGGAGTTTAACGAGTGAAGACTATCAGCATTATCGCCAGGGTCAAACTATTCATTCTTCAAATTATCTGGTACAGACATAGTCCACATTATACAGCGTTCACAAGTACATTTTCTAAATGAATTCAAATGAAAATTTTCCAAAGGGAATTACTCAATTTAGAAATTCCATCATTGTTACCACGTTTCTACTGAGAAAGCATACATAGTATATAAAAATTGCTTCACTAAGAATTGACTGAACACTATTGTATCAGGCATTTAGAGGCAAATTACCTGGGCAGGTGGGCTATCAGATACAGCTGATTTTCATCAATTAATTGATTAGAGGAAAGGTCTAATAACTTGACTGTCTGGAGAACATCTGTTGGCCTGTATGGAAAATAAAATTTTTTCACCGTGAATTTCTCTTTTGTTTTCAAAGATACAGCCTTAAAATGCCTGCATTTGATGCGATGGAGGGTTGGGGGTAAAAAGCAAGTGGATATGACTATAAAAGGGCAACCTGAGGGGTACCTCTGGCAATGCACAAATTCCTGCCGGTGTCAATGTCCCACCTAGCCTGTGATCCTATTTCATAGTTTTGCAACTTGTTACCAATGGGGGAACCTGGGTCATGGGTACAAGTGATATCTGTGTATCATTTCTTATAAAACTTGATGTGAATCTATGATTATCTCAAAATTAAAAATTTTAATTTAAAAAACCTGCAGGCCAGGCACGGTGGCTCACGCCTGTAATCCCAGCACTTTGGCAGGCCGAGGTGGGCAGATCACCTGAGATCAGGAGTTCAAGACCAGCCTGGCCAACATGGTGAAACCCCGTCTCTACTAAAAATACAAAAATTAGCCAGGCATGGTGGGCCGCGCCTGTAGTCCCAGCTACACAGGAGGCTGAGGCAGGAGAATCACTTGAACCAGGGAGGCGGAGGTTGCAGTGAGCCGAGATGGCGCCACTGCACTCTAGCTGGGCAACAAGAATGAAACTCTATTGCAAAAAAAAAAAACACACCTGCATTTGCCTACATAATGAAACCCTTCTGTACACGAAAGTCTTTAAGATTCTGAATCCCTTAATTCAGAATCTGTTGTAAATTTTCTCCCACAATTAGGTTAATTTTACATAGTAATTTAATATTATTAATAAAAAAAGGGAGATGAGGCAACAATATATTTCAGAGAACAAGGTTTTACATGTACTTTGGTACAATGACCTGAAACAGATGATGCTAATGAAAAATACATTATTTAATCCTTACAGCATATCCTACAGAACTTCCATTTAGAAATAGCAAATTGGCTGGGCACAGTGGCTCACGAGGTCAGGGGTTTAAGACCAGCCTGGCCAAGATGGTGAATCCCCGTGTCTACTAAAAATAAAGAAAATTAGCCAGGCGTGGTGGCAGGCACCTATAATCCCAGCTACTCAGGAGGCTGGGGCAGGAGAATCGCTTGAACTCAGGAGGCGGAGGTTACAGTGAGCCGTGATCACCACTGTACTCCAGCCTGGGCGACAGAGTGAGACTCCGTCTCAAAAAAAATAAAAAAAGAAAAGAAAAGAAACAGCAAGCAGCAAGTTAATACACTGATGCAAAACTAAGATAACTCATGTCTTCACAAATACTTAATTCTGATGAGTTTCCTTTGATTAGAACCAATTAGTCAAATTCTAATTTGTGAAGGCAATGAATAATAAGCATTTTTCCTAATTCTTGTTTACAAATCCTTCTAAAAATTAAGGTGAGATATAATTGAGACCATTTGTTTACTCAGAATGATGACTAATGGGGATAGATGCATTTAAGGAAGCCCTAGTTACCTTTCGGAAATGACAATATTGTTAGACTCCAGGTAGAGTTCCTCCAGGCCCGGGCACCACGCGGCACACCGCAGCACCTGGAAGAGAAACTCGGCTCAGGCTCAGGTGGCCTCTGTTGGCTGTTTCTTCCCGGGTGTTCATAGGAACCACCAAGAGGATTCAGCTCAGTTACTGTTTCAGCAAACAAGTGCCTCACCGACAGTTCATAAGACTGTTTCAGGCCTGGAATGGTGGTGGGGGGGTGATAAATAAAATGTTAAAGGAGTGCATTTTAATGCTGTGGGAGCACATACTGTGGGCACTCTGAGGCCTCGGAGGTAGGTGTCAATGCATGGTTTAGGTAAGGCAGCTACGAGGTAGAACAGGAGATACTAACTGCATGTATTAGTATTTGATAGAATTTGCTTAACCAAAAGAAGTAAGTTGATGTTAAACACCTTTCCTCAATTCTAAATGCCAATCTGGGTTTGTAAAGGATATGCTAATTTTTCATATCCTTTCATAAATTTCTCAACAGTTATTTCTTCTTTCATTATTTTTTAATTATACATTTTTTTAAGTTTTCATTATATATTTACAACAAATATCCTACATCCATGATTCTCTCCAGTCAAAAGTTCTTTGAGGTCAGGCACAGTGGCTCATGCCTGTAATCCCAGCACTTTGGGAGGCCGAGGCAGGTGGATCACTTGAGGTCAGGAGGTGGAGACCAGCCTGGCCAACAGGATGAAAGCCCATTACTACTAAAAATACAAAAATGGCCGGGTATGGTGGCACACACCTGTAATCCCAGCACTTTGGGAGGCTGAGGCGGGCAGACTGCTTGAGGTCGGGAGTTTGAGACCAGCCTGGCCAACATGGCGAAAACCCATCTCGACTAAAAATACAAAAAATTAGCCAGGCATGGTGGTGCATGTCTGTAATCCCAGCTAATTGGGAGGCTGAGGCAGGAGAATCGTTTTGGCCCATGAGGCGGAGGTTGCAGTGAGTCAATATCACACCACTGCACTCCAGCCTGGGCAACAGAGCAAGACTCCATCTCAAAAACAAAATAGTTGAGATAACACCCTTGGCCATGGCCAGAGAATGGAATCATCTGACTCACCCATCCTGCAAACTGTCCTGCAGATAGCACAGGTTTTAAACTAGCTGTTAAACCTGCCCGTGACCTTGTTGGCCTTGGCCACATTCATCCACATGGATATATGGTCCTTGGCACTGATGACGCAGTTGCTGGTGGAGCATTTCTGCCCCATGCACAGGTCCACGAACTTGCTGGCATCTTTCTGCATGTCAAGACCGTGCCTGCTGCTACCACACTGCACATGAGCCTAATTTTTTTTTACAAAAAAAAAATTTTACAAAAAATTTTTTACAAAAAATTATTATATATTATTATATATAATTATGTGATAATTACATAATTTTATATTACATAATTATATATAATAATATATAATATTACATAATTATATATAATAATATATATAGCATCTACAGGATCTCTCGATGTTGCCTAGGTGGGTCTTGAACTCCTGGCCTCAAGCGGTTCTCCTGCCTGGGCCTCCCAAAGTGCTGGCTGGAATTACAGGTGAGAGCCCCCATACCCAGCCTCACCAACTATTCCTAAATTTTCTCACTGGAACTTTACTGTCATCTCTACCACCTGAATTTCTGTGTGCCCTTCCTAGTTTATTTGGAGGGTGAGGTGGGTCTTGCTCTGTTGCCCAGGCTGGAGTACAAAGGTGCGGTCCTAGCTCACTGCAGCTTCAAACTCCTCGGCTCAAGTGATTCTCCCACCTTAGCCTCCCAAAGCGCTGGGACTGCAGGTGTCAGCCCCAGTGCCTGGCCCCTTCTTGTCTTCCAGCTGCATCTACACTGGAGAGGGAGTAAGCACCTCACAGAGGAGGGGCCCTAGGAAAGAGGCTCCGTGGGCATATTAAGGGCACAAGGGACCCACCTGTCTCTCACTGAGCAGCCTCTGTGGCACTTCCTGGGTGAACATAGCTGGGAATGTATTTCTACACCCTTGGTTTGAAAGTGGAATGCCCGAACCGGGTGCGGAGGCTCACGCCTATAATCCCAGCACTTTGGGAGGCCGAGGCAGACAGATCATTTGAGGAGTTCAAGACCATCCTGGCCAACATGGTGAAACCCCGTCCCTACTAAAAATACAAAAATAAGCTGGGCATGGTGGCAGGCGCCTATAATCCCAGCTACTTGGGAGGCTGAGGCAGGAGAATCGCTTGAACCCGGGAGGCGGAGGTTGCAGTGAACCGAGATTGCGCCACTGTACTCCAGCTTGGGCAACAGAGCGAAGACTCTGTTTCAAGAAAAATAAATGAATAAAAATGAAAGTGGGCTGGGCACGGTGGCTCTGGCCTGTAATCACAGCCCTTTGGGAGGCCGAGGTGGGCAGATCACCTGAGGTCAGGAGTTCGAGACCAATCTGACCAACATGGAGAAACCCAGTCTCTACTAAAAATACAAAATTAGCTGGGCCTCGTGGCGCATGCCTGTCATCCCAGCTACTCGGGAGGCTTGAGGCGGGAGAATCACTTGAACCTGGGTGGTGGAGGTTGCAGTGAGCCGAGATCGCGCCACTGCACTCCAGCCTGAGCAACAAGAGCAAAACTCCGTCTCAAAAAAAAAAAAAAAAAAACAGACAGTGGCATGCTCTGGGTGTGTGAAGTCAGCACACCTCAGAGGAAGTTGTACTGCCAGACATAAGTCCCAAACGCTGCTGTGCTGAGGACCCACAAGTCTACTTTTGAGCCCAGCTGTATAAAATGAACCGCGGCTTCCAAAAGCCGAACTTCTAACAAGAAAAGGATGTGAGAACCTTTCTGCTGCTTGGCTTCTGTTCTAAAAAAAAAACTTACAGGAAAACTCAGGGAGCTATCAATAGCTAACACGACGCTCAGCACATCCTCGGTGCATACCACAATGGAGCACCACTGTTTATAAAGGCCCCAGAACAAGTCCAAGTGAGCTGAGAGAGGACACGGATTCCTAGATGCAAAACTCAACTACGATGCGCTTTTAACTCGATTTTGCAAGGCACTTTAAAGAATCTTGTTATCTATTAATAGATATTGGGATGATTTAAACGAAGCCACAGTTATACTTCAATTCCCTACTAAATCAAACATTTTTAATTGCTTATTAATGTGTAATAAACCAAAGAAATATGATTACCTCAGCCCACGTTATTCCTGTTTGATTGAGGACTAAAACCTTCAGTGCAGAAAACGTTCCAGTTAATGCTGAACCGGAGGGAAATTTTAGTTTATTTTCACTGTGTAGAAAAAGAAGATACAATATACTTATTTCTATACAGTAAACCCAACTGAAATAGTCGTTGAAAGCAACAACTTGGGTTTTAATCTAAGGGGTTTGATTTGTTTCAATCTTAAAATGGAAATCACTTTTTTAATGATTCAAGTGAATCAAGACTACCTAATTTTTAACATTTACAATTTACAACTTTTTGGGATCAGCTGTGTAAAGATGCTTTCACAGGATTAGGGCAGCCGTATGCGGCTGCAGGCTTCCTAAACCCGAAACTCAGGCATTTGCAAGGTGAGCCTCCAGCTTCACAAGACATGGCTCTGGACAGTGCAAAGCAAAGTCCCGTTCTCCAGTCTTACTGACACACTGAATCGTGGGCTAGCATTTTGCTTCTCTAAACATAGAGTCTGCCCTTTGGCTAGGAGGATGGATGAAATTATGGCTAGGAGGATGGATGAAATTATTGTCCCTTAAATTCTTTCTCAAAACTCTATTCAATCCTGACAGTCACTTTGAAAGAAGATATATTAAAAAACACAAGCCCATATTTCCGAAGATGAGACACCATGGGTTGAGTTACCCCTATTTGCTCTATTTGGGAGCACAATTCATTCAGGCCTACCTGCTATACTGTACACTCACCTGTCTATGCAAAAATGGTTTAAGAATGAAAGGGGAAACCTGTGCCGGGCATGGAAGCTCACGCCTATAATCCCAGCACTTTGGGAGGCCAAGGCAGATGGATCACCTGAGGTCAGGAGTTCAAGACTAGCCTGGTCAACATGATGAAACCCCGTCTCTACTAAAAATACAAAAATTAGCCGGGCATGGTGGCAGGTGCCTCTAGTCCCAGCTACTTGGGAGGCTGAGGAAGGAGAATCACTTGAACCTGGGAGGCGAAGGGTGCAGTGAGCCGAGATCCTACCACTGCACTCCAGCCTGGGCAACAACAAAAAAAAAAAAAAAAAAAAAAAGGAGGAAGCCTGGCTAAACCCTTGGAAAGTTAGGTTCTGAGATTAAAACAAATCAAATACTCAGGAAGGCCTGGAAAACTGTGACATTAGTAAAATAGTTAGATTAACGAAAAATCCTTATCAAAACAGAATTAAACAGTATCCCAATGAAATTACTAATTCCTACAGCAATTAAATGCTAGAAGGTTTCAAATTTCAAATAAACAAGCACTTTTAATAGTATCACCTCTCCTCTCCTACTCCACAATTAAATATCACCTCCCCCAACCTTCCATCTTTATGGTCAGGCTAAAAAGAAATAAGATCTTGCAGTTCAATGTCAATCTAACTCATCCCCCACCTGATAAAAGTTAAAACACATTCCTTATTCATGAATCACCTCATGTGACCGTTTGCAAGGCTATAATAATCGATGTGCCCTTAAAGATTAAAGTGTCCTTAAAGAGGCGGGACGTGGTGGCTCACACCTGTAATTCCAGCACTTTGAGAGGCCGAGACAGGTGGAAAACCTGAGGTCAGGAGTTCAAGATCAGCCTGGCCAACATGGCGAAACCCTGCTTCTACTAAAAATACAAAAAGTAGCCGGCAGTGGTGGTGGGCACCGATAGTCCCAGCTACTCAGGAGGGTGAAGTAGGAGAATCCCTTGAACCCAGGAAGGGGAGGTTGCAGTGAGCCGAGATTGCACCATTGCACTCCAGCCTGGGCAACAAGAGTGAGACTCCATCTCAAAAATACATGTCTGCAGCTCCATTTTACAGGCTGCTTGTGTTAGAAAGGAAAATAATTTGGGGCTGCTCTTCATTAAAAGGAATACCTTACTTAGGACTTCTATACCCTCACTATCAGCCTGAGTAATTTCTTCTTAACTCCTGCATCATCAGGTGGCAGCCTTAATCTTTCTGCCTCAGAGATGCTGTGAGGGAGCAAGGAGATGACTTTTATTGTTCATGAAAATTCGGCAACCAAGAGTTCATACCTGAGATTAAGGACTTCCAGGTGTCTGAGCTGATCAGCAATGTGGATCACTTCATCCCATGATGACAACAGGTTTTTTGACAAATCTACCCTTCTAATATCTAAAAGCACATGTTAAGAAACAGTAATTTCAAAAGATTCACAAAAGACATAAAAGTAGTTACTCTTATTTCCTCAGCATGAGTGCTTTAACCTTTCATTTTATACCCTCTAGTTAACTTGAAAGTTTTTCAGGAGTACATAATACTTTTTTTTTTTTTTTTTTTTTTTTAGAGGCAGAGTCTCGCTCTGTCACCCAGGCTAGAGTGCAGAGGCCGGATCTCGGCTCACTGCAAGCTCCGCCTCCCGGGTTCACGCCATTCTCCTGCCTCAGCCTCCCGAGTAGCTGGGACTACAGGAGCCCACCACCTCGCCCGGCTAGTTTTTTGTATATTTTTTAGTAGAGACGGGGTTTCACTGTGTTAGCCAGGATGGTCTCGATCTCCTGACCTCATGATCCGCCCATCTCGGCCTCCCAAAGTGCTGGGATTACAGGCTTGAGCCACCGCGCCCGGCCATAATACTTTTAAGTTATCCAAAACTTCACTGAGAAACTAAAAAGTTCATTATCCGGCCAGGCGCGATGGCTCACGCCTGTAATCCCAGCACTTTGGGATGCCAAGGTGGGGGGATCACTTGAGGTCAGGAGTTCAAGACCAGCCTGGCCCACATGGCAAAACCCTGTCTCTACTAAAAATACAGAAATTAACCAGGTGTGGTGGCATGTGCTTGTAATTCCAGCTACTCAGGAGGTTGAGGCACGAGAATCTCTAGAGCCGGGGAGGCGGAGGTTGCAGGGAGTGGAGATTGCACCACTGCACTCCAGCCTGGATGACAGAGTGAGACTGTCTCAAAAAACTAAAAATAAATTAAAAGTTCATTGTTATATACTCAAAACTTGAGACAAACATCTACAACCAAATGAAAAAGAACCAAATGTCATAACATTAAACCATCCTAGCACTATCCAACAAAAGGAGAGGGGAAAAGCGGTGAGGGTAACTTTGATTTCTTAAGCACCTAAGGTATACACACAAGCCTCACCCCAGCACATGACCTTCTATGGGGCACCATTACCATAGGAATCTCCAGATAAATAGCATCTGCAGGGGAGATAAGAGGGGTCAACTTGGGACACATGTTCAAAAGTGCATGACTTAGGAATTGAGAGGGTGTCCCGTAGCCTGGAAGCAGTTATAACAGTATCACTCCAACTGCCCCCGATACAGGGGTTCAGAGAGGATAACACAGTGGGACTGGAAAAGCAAAGCTGATGGGCAACACAAGTGCAGGTGAGGGGCTAGGTGCAGGTGCAGCGCCATCAGGAAGGGGCACAGCTTAGCCAGGTCCCCACAGAGAAAAAGGAGCTTGCAGCAGGACCGGGCCAGCTAGTGGAGGAGCCTACACTCTCATCTAACATGTGTATGTGTGGAAATTATTCAATGTACTGGTCTATTCTGCAAGTAATTATTTAGGGCCAGGAGCATCACAGTGGCAAAGCAGAGTCTCACCAGGGAGAGATGATCGTGACACAGGGCCTCTACAGTGTGTCACAGGCAGGCCTGTCTGTGCTCGGGGACAGAGCAGGGCACACAGGAAAGGTGTGTGGCTGTTCTATATGCAGTGCTCAGGGAAGACCACCTCCTCCAACAAGAGGGCATCTGAGCAGAGAGCTGAGGGAAATGGGGGGACGTCATCTGGGAGAGGAGCACGCGGCGGAGGAGTGACAAGAGCAAAGGCCCTGGGATGGGAACGAGCTCAGCCTATGACCGGGACGGCCGGCGCCTGTGTGACTGGAGCAGATGGGCTTGGGGGTACTAGAAACGAGGTCACAAGGGACAAGGGGCTAGGCCACACATCACAAAGGCCTTGCAGGCCACTTCAAAGTCTTTGCTAGTCTTTGCTTGAAACGGGAGATACTGGAGGCTTTGGAACAGCGACAGATGACCTGGGTCTTTTAAAAATCACTCTGCTTTGACTTTGATCTATACTATGTCCAAAAAAAAAAAAAGGAAAAGTCACTGTGCTGCTGGGTTGAGCACGATTGCAGGAAACAAAGGAGGGCCGGGAGTCTCCCGGAGGCCAGAGCAGAGCAGCAGAATCAGAGGGCAGACCACGGCAGAGGGGGCGTCTGACTCTGGACTGGGGCTCACAGGATTGCCAGTGGATTTAGGTGTGAGGCATGGGAGACAGGGAGTGTCAAGGACAACTCCAAGATCTGTGGCCTGTGCAACTGGAACTGTCATTTACTAAGAGGGGAAGACTACAGGATGGGCAGGCGTGAGGGGTCTTAGTTTTGGACATGCTAAATCTATGATGGCTATGAGACATCCAGACAGAGGTATCAAAGCAGCGGCTGGAGAGACAGATGTCCAAGAGGGCAGGCCGTGGAGGAGTGCCAGCCACACCCCAGAAGGTCTCTCAAGAAGCCAGGAGCTCCCATATCTGAGCCTCGGGGTACACCCAACACCCTGCAACCAGAGAAAGGTCCCATAGAAGTGACTGACGAGGACTGGCCAGTGACAAAAGAAGAGCTCTAAGATCCAGGCCAGGCGCGGTGGCTCACGCCTGTAATCCCAGCACTCTGAGAGGCCAAAGTGGGCAGATCACCTGAGGTCAGGAGTTCGAGACCAGCCTGGCCAACATGGTGAAACCCTGTCTCTACTAAAGATACAAAAATCAGGCCGGGAACTGTGACTCATGCCTGTAATCCCAGCACTTTGGGAGGCCGAGGCGGGTGGATCACCTGAGGTTGGGAGTTCGAGACCAGCCTGACCAACACGGAGAAACCCCGTCTCTACTAAAAATACAAAATTAGCCGGGCGTGGTGGCGCATGTCTGTAATCCCAGTTACTCGGGAAGCTGAGGCAGGAGAATCGTTTGAACCCGGGAGGCGGAGGTAGTGGTGAGCCAAGATCGTGCCATCGCATTCCAGCCTGGGCAACAAGAGCAAAACTCTATCTCAAAAAATGAAAAAAAAACACACAAAAATCAGCCAAGGGTGGTGGCACGCACCTGTGGTCCCAGCTACGCAGGGGGCTGAGGCAGGAGAATCGCTTGAACCTGAGTGCCAGAAGGTTGCGGTGAGCCGAGATCGCGCCACTGCACTCCAGCCTGGGTGAAAGAGTGAGACTCCATCTCAAAAAAAAAAAAAAAAAAAAAAAGAGCTCTAAGATCCAGTAATAACAACAGCAGCAGGGACAGCCACCGCCCTCACTGCTGCCGCCACTGCCAACCAGACCCAGGCGCTATGCTGATTTCTGGGTTGTTTTCCTTTTTCACAGTAGAAAAAACAGCGGCACAGCAGTCAGAGAGCTGTGTCATTGTGTGCAAATGAACAAGTGGGAAATTACACCCAAGTCAGCCTCGATTCAAAACCCATTTCATTGCACCCCTTAATGCAACAGGGGTCATCAAACGCACATAAAACGTGGAGAAAGTTTCTTTACAAAAACAGCGGCATCACTCCAAAGCATTGGTTAGAAAGGAAATAATTTTAGGCAGGAACCAATTAGGAAGCTCTGCAAGAAGGTCAGGAACAAGGGAAGGATGGCAGAGAAGATGCGAAGAAAGGGATGACTCCAAACCCGGTCGCCAGCTACCCATGCCCAAATCCTGCCAGCTGCCTGGAGCTAACAATGGGGTCTACCCTCGTAAACAGTTGCATTTCAACTGGTAGTATGAGTACCTACAGGATAGCCTTGATTTTGCTGTGGCCGTCGCATCAAATGGAAGGGAAAAGAGTCAGGCTGCCGAAAATTCCAGACCCGGAAAACACCCTCCAGGTCCCCTCGGGCTCCTCCTCCACCCTTGGGGACACATCTGCATGATGGCTTCTGTAAACTGTTCCTCCGCTGCTCCTCCTCAGCCTCCCCTTGGCTGCCCCAGCTTCCTGACACCGCCTCACGCAGGCTCATGCAAGGGGTGCTTTCCAGGCCTCTGGGTGACACTGTGGCCACCCTGTGTTTCCATTAACCCTGCTAAATCGGCTGTTAGGCTGCTGAGGAAGGGTTTAAGTCCAATCACGCTTCCCTCACTGCTGTTTCCCATTATGTAGCCTAGAGTTGTAACTGTCTCTAAGGTCTGTACAGAGCATACAGACCACCTACATCCTGAATCAGCCACGAACAGCTCTCAATATGTGGTCGCCCCTCCTACACACACAGTTCAAGGAGCCCCCGTGAACGCACAGGTCAGGCCTCCGGGCACAGATTCTCCTCCGCCGGTCATGAGGGAGGAGGCGGCTCATCCCCTCCCCTGGAAGTGCCCTGAGATTTGACATATCCAGGTCTGCAGCGCTCCCAATGCCTTGAGTTCTGGTCGAGTAAATAACCTCAAAGACAGACCAACTCAAAACAGGATGACTGGATTAAGCACCCAAAGCAATACTTCAGCTTCTGGCGAGAATTCAATTGGGACCTGCAAGACATTCATCACTGTATCTGCAAACACCAACCGTGACTGGATTATCTCGTGAAACCTCATTTCTTCGTGTCCTGGGGGACATTTTTCTCCAGAAAAGTGCAATATAAACAAACAACATGCTGATTCTCCAGGACACTGTTGACAGCTCTGAGCAACCCAACAGCCAGCACTCCCAAACCCATCTACTGCCACATCTGTCCTTTTTTTTGAGACAGAGTCTTGCTCTTGTTACCCAGGCTGGAGTGCAATGGCGTGATCTCGGCTCACTGCAACCTCCGCCTCCCAGGTTCAAGCGATTCTCCTGCCTCAGCTTCCCAAGTAGCTGGGATAACAGGCGCGCACCACCATGCCCGGCTAATTTTTGTACTTTTAGTAGAGATGGGGTTTCACCACATTGATCAGGCTGTTCTCTAACTCCTGACCTTAGGTGATCCACCCGCCTTGGCCTCCCAAAGTGCTGGAATTACAGGCATGAGCCACCACACCTGGTCCCCCACCCCCTCCTTTTTTTTTTTTTTTTTTCTGAGATGGAGTCCCGCTCTGTCACCCAGGCTAGAGTACAGTGGTATGATCTCGGCTCACTGCAATCTCTGCCTCCCAGGTTCAAGTGATTCTCCTGCCTCAGCCTCCTCCTGAGTAGCTGGGATTACAGGCACCCGTAATTAACCATACCCGGTTAATTTTTTGTATTTTTAGTACAGACAGGGTTTCATCATGTTGGCCAGGCTGGTCTTGAACTCCTGACCTCAGGTGATCCATCCGCCTTGGCCTCCCAAAGTGCTGGAATTACAGGCATGAGCTACTGTACACGGCCCGATGACCAATCTTCTGAAATAGTTTAGGAATAGACCAGGCAGAAAGCAGAATGCTCTGACACTTCTGTGGCACTGGCTCCTTAGCAAACTCTTTTCTGCATCCACTCTATTCCCCTGACTCCAGCTGCCTAGCTCTGAAAATGACCACGTATTTGCAGCACGCTGGGGTCAACAGAGGAGGCTGCTCAAGGGCAGACAGTGGATGTTGCAGCTACCACAGGTCCCAACAGACCCCCAGGCTGTTTCCCCCAAGGGAACTGAAACCGCAGACATGCAGATGGAGAGAGTTCTGATCTAATTTCCTTCATTGCACCATCCGGGCATTTTGCCAAAGAGAGCTACTTCACCTGGCATCTCTGCACTCAGAAAAAAACTGATCAAAACTGATACTTTTTGTAAAAGTTATTATGTACAGATCAAATAGACTTAATGAACTGGGGAAAGACCTTTTAAAGTTAGAGAAAGTCTATTTGGTTACCATGGGAAATTCTTCTTTTTGTTGAGACGCAGTCTCGCTGTTACCCAGGCTGGAGTACAATGGCGTGACCTCAGCTCACTGCCACCTCCGCCTCCTGGGTTCAAGCGATTCTCCTGCCTCAGCCTCCCAAGTAGCTGGGACTACAGGCACCCGCCACAATGCCTGGCTAATTTTTTTGTATTTTTCGTAGAGACGGGGTTTCACTGTGTTAGCCGGGATGGTCTCGATCTCCTGACCTCGTGATCCACCCCTCTTGGCCTCCCAAAGTGCTGGGATTACAGGCATGAGCCACCGCGCCCAGCCGGGAAACTTCTTAATAGAAACGAGGTCTAGCTGTCATCTAGGCTGAAGTATAGTGCATGACAGGCTCCTCACAGCCTTGAACTCCTGAGCTCAAGCAGTCCTCCCACCTCAGCCTCCTGAGTAGCTGAGATGACAGGCACATGCCACTACACTCTGTTTTGTTTTGTTTAATTTTTTATAGAGACAAGGTCTCGCAATGTTCCCAAGGCTGGTCTCAAACTCCTGGCCTCAAGCAGTCCTCCAGTCTCAGCCTCCCAAAGTGTTGAGATTACCGGCATGAGCCACCATGCCCATCCTCGAAATTTTCTTTTAACTCACCTCCAACATTTTTGCTTATGGGCAAAAAAGCAATATATGACAAAAATAACACTAATAAGAGAAGGTAGAGAAAAGAGATTCCAAACTTCATAAAGAGCCTCTTTTGGAGTATTATAACAAAGCGCATTCAGCTGCATGAAACCAGAACCAGAGTCTTTCCCACTAAAAATAACTGCATGAGGCCAGGTGTGTGGCTCACGCCTATAATCTCAGCACTTAGGGAGGCCGAGGCGGGCGAATCACCTGAGGTCGGGAGTTCGTGACCAGCCTCGCCAATGTGGCGAAACCCCATCTCTACTAAAAATACAAAAATTAGCCAGATGTGGTAGCAGGCACCTGTAATCCCAGCTACTCGGGAGGCTGGGGCAGAGGAATCGCTTGATCCTGGGAGGAAGAAGTTACAGTGAGCTGAGATCACGCCACAGCACTCCAGCCTGGGCAACAGAGCAAGGTTCCATCTCAAAAAAAAAAAAAAAAAAGAAATGCATGAGAAAACAGACCAGGGCTGAAGCAGATTCGTCTTGGGTTCCCGGTACACTGTCAGCGGCCCAGGTTCCCTCTCCTCTGCTCTCGCAATGTGTACCAGATGGCTTTCTTCACACTTGTAAGACAGCTGCCAAAGCCCTGGGCATTCCATCCGCTCAAGGCAGGGGGAAGGGGAAAAGCAACAGGCAAAAGGCAGAGGCCAACTAAGTGTGCCCCCTTTCTTTTTTGAGACGAAGTCTTGCTCTGTCGTCAGGCTGAGTGCACTGGCGCGATCTTAGCTCGCTGCAACCTCTGCCTACCGGGTTCAAGCAATTCTCCTGCCTCAGCCTCCTGAGTGGCTGGGACTACAGGCACATGCCACCATACCCGGCTAATTTTTGTATTTTTAGTAGAGACGGGTTTCACTATCTTGGCCAGGATGGTCTTGATCTCCTGACCTTGTGATCCACCTGCCTCAGCCTCCCAAAGTGCTAGGATTACAGGCGTGAGCCACTGCACCCTGCCAAGTGTGCCTCCTTTCAAGGAGCCCGGTCCAGAAACTTCCACCTCAACTAGGGGAAGTCATGCTGGCAAACTTGCAAGCAAAGGCGTCTGGGAAGGTAAGTAATATATCTGGGCCCCAACTACACCAAGCAAAACTGAACTGCATTAGGAAGGAAGTTGCGAAGAATGGACAATGGGTAGGCAATTAGCAGTCTCTGGCACAGGCATCAAATCCAAAGTCAGATTCCAGTAACAAGCTCTCGGTGAAAAGGATACTAGGACATGCTTCGGCAACTCCTCCTTTTTCACCAGCACAACTTACTGCACAGTTCCTCAGAGAAACTTCTTGCAACTTGCTCAGCTGACTGCATGAAAAACAGAGTTCACATGGATACGTAAGCACGTATGCTATCCACTGGCCCTTTAAAAAATTAAACACATTTCAGACATATAAAAGGGTACCAAAAATAATATACAAATACCAGTAACTACCACCCAAATTAAGAAATAAAACATTATCAAAAAAAGAGCACTACAAATATTACAAATGCAGCTGAAGTCCTCTGGGGGCCTCTCCAAACACGATTCTCCCTCTACTCCCCAGGGGTAACCTTTTTTTTTTTTTTTTGAGCTGGAGTCTCGCTGTGTTGCCCAGGCTGGAGTGCAGTGGCACGATCTAGGCTCGCTGCAGCCTCCACCTCCCAGGTTCAGGTGATTCTCCTGCCTCAGCCTCCTGAGTAGCTGGGATTACAGGCACTTGCTACCACACCCAGCTAATTTTTGCATTTTTAGTAGAGACAGGGTTTCACCATGTTGGCCAGACTGGTCTCGAACTCCTGACCTCAAGTGATCCACCCACCTCGGCCTCCCAAAGTGCTAGGATTACAGGTGTGAGCCACTGCACCCGGCCCTCCCTGGGGTAACCTTATACTTACACTACATTTGGTGTTTATTTAATCTTAAGCATTTCTTAATTTTTTTTTTTTTTTTTTTTTTTGAGACGGAGTCTCGCTTTGTCACCCAGGCTAGAGTCCAGTGGCTGGATCTCAGCTCACTGCAAGCTCCGCCTCCCAGGTTCACGCCATTCTCCTGCCTCAGCCTCCTACGTAGCTGGGACTACAGGCGCCCGCCACCTCGCCCGACTAGTTTTTTGTATGTTTTAGTAGAGACGGCGTTTCACCGTGTTAGCCAGGATGGTCTCGATCTCCTGACCTCGTGATCCGCCCGTCTCGGCCTCCCAAAGTGCTGGGATTACAGGCTTGAGCCACCGCGCCTGGCCATTTCTTAATATTTTTACCATATATTTCCATATCCCTAAACAAATACAGCATTTTTTAATATTCTGAAACTTGATATAAATGGTATTCTACTCCGCAGAGCCTTCTGCAGCTGACTTTTTCCTCAACAGTCTATTGTTCAGTGGTGAGATTTCACTACAGTGACACATGGAGCTCCAGGACATTCATCTTCACACCTGATAGTGTTTGTTACATGAACAGACCACAAAGAACATAGATATTCTTCTGCTGACATTTAGATTGTTCCCAACCATGCAGAAGTACACGCTATGGAGTGCTTCTTGCACTCACATGTAAAAGCCTCCCTAAAGGACTTCCTAGAAAGTGTGCCCAGCTCCAGCATGACCAGATACTTTTGGCAGCCATCTGTTAAGTGGAGAGAATCTTGTGTTTTCTATTCATGAAAAGAATCCGCATATATAATGTCTAAGAACACAGAATCTGGAACCAGACCACCTGGGTTCAAATCCCGATTCCACCATCTCCTTTGGCTTTGGAGAAGTGAATTAGCACCTCTGTGCCTCAGACTTCACATCTCTAAAAGGCCACGGTATATGCACAAGTTCACAGCGGCATTATTCCTGGTAGTCAAGAGGTGGAAGAACCCAAGTATCCATCAGCAAATGAAGGGATAAACAAAACGTGGCATGCATATACAATGCAACACTGTGCAAACTTAAAAAGCAAAAGAAGGAAATTCTGACATATGCCACAATGTGGATGAACCTTGAGTGCGTTATGCTAGGTGAAATAAGCCAGTCACAAACGAACAAATACGTGGCCGGGCGTGGTGGCTCACGCCTGTAATCCTAGCACTTTGGGAGGCCAAGGTGGATGGGTCACCTGGGGTCAGGGGTTTGAGACTAGCCTGGCCAACATGGAGAGACCCCGTCTCTACTAAAAAAAAAAAAAAAATACCAAAAATTAGCCTGGCATAGTGGTGGGCACCTGTAATCCCGGCTACTCAGGAGGCTGAGACAGGAGAATCGCTTGAACCTGGGAGGGTGGAGGTTGCAGTGAGCCGAGATCACACCATTGCACTCCAGCCTGGGCAACAAGAGCGAAACTCTGTCTCAAAAAAAAAAAAAAAAACACACAAAAACAAAAAAAAAAGGAAAGAAAATCTAGGGTACAAAAGGCAGCAGCAGAATTCAACGGTAGAGGGTCCCAAACTTTCTCAGACCACAGGGTCCTTAGGGTTTCAGTAATTTTTTTCATGGTACTTAGGCCAAAATAAATATCTCACAGTTCCAATTAAGTATGTAGTTAGGGCCAAACAACTTAATCATTACTTATGTCCTGTCAACTCAGTGTCTGCTGGGCACTGCCCAACTTCCCAAACCCTGCAATCAGACTGGACGCCACCAACTCCATTTCCAGTTCCACACTGATTTAAGAGATACTTGCTTTTTTATAAAACAAATATTTCTATTGATGCATGATAAATGTACATAAATACTTGCGTTTTGCCGGGCGCGGTGGCTCACGCCTGTAATCCCAGCACTTTGGGAGGCTGAGGCGGGAGAATGGCGTGAACCCGGGAGGCGGAGCTTGCAGTGAGCCGAGATCGCGCCACTGCACTCCAGCCTGGGCGACAGAGCGAGACTCCGTCTCAAAAAAAAAAAAAAAAAAAAAAAAAAAAAAAAAAACTTGTGTTTTATCGCAGCAATCGCCCAAAAGCCAGCTTTGTAGGCTTATGACATCATTGAAAAGAACGACAGGAATCTCAGAAACAGCCAACTACTTCAAACTGCAGTTTGCACTGTGTCCGACAGATGTCGCTCCTTCCCCCTAAAATTTAAAATAGCCTGCCTTGCCAGGACAACTTGGCACTAAGGGTGAGGACTCAGATCTCAATCCAAGCATCACTCCAGAGCCAAAACCATCTCCAAGAGAAACCATACATACAAACAAATTTTTTAAATTTGTTTTTGATTCCTTTATTGAGTCTTTTCTTAGTGGTACGATCTCAAAGCTGGTCAGCTGGATTTTATTGAGGAGATAAGACAGTGGCTTAAAGTAGAGGTTTCAACTCCTAAAAAAAACTCCTAAAGCTACCATTAATTGCAGGATCTCATTTGTTATTCACAACAGCACTTATATCTTAGGTTTTATGTTGTAATTGAGGAAACTGAGCCTTAGAAACAGTAAGTAGCTATCTCTAACTTCTGTCAGAGCCAAAAGTGCTTTAGCTGGCGTCTGAACCCAGCCTAACTCCAACACTGGCTGCATTCCACCAAGCTGTCTCATAATTTCTGAACTCACTAATCTCTAGCCAACATACAAGATTGCTCCAGAATCTCTAAAATTTTACCTTTTCAATCAAGAAAGACACTAGCTAATGATTAAATTCAATGATACTCAAGTAGTAGGGTCATTTACAGAAAAATTCATGAGTTACATAGTTGTTCATAAACTAGGGGATGAAAATCCATTTGCAATTTGTTAATATTCTTAGAGCCCACAATATTCTCTGAAAGAGATTAACCAATAAAAAAAAAAATGCTTCTTTTGGGTAAGAGATATTTGAGTATTTGGGTTTTTTGTTGGTTTGTCGTTTGAGACAAGGTCTCACTATGTCACCTAGGCTGGAGTGCAGTGGTGCAATCATGGCTCACTGCAGCCTTGACCTCCTGGGTTCAGGTGATCGTCCCACCTCAGCTTTCCAAATAGCTGGGACTACAGGCACGCACCACTACACCCAGCTAATTTATTTATTTATTTATTTATTTATTTTTTGTAGATACAGGGTTTTGCCATGTTGCCCAAGCTATTTATATTTTAAATGGGAACAAGGCAAAGAACTCTAACCCCTATGAAGCAGGTAGTTCTTTAAATCCAAGTAAATCAGTAGGGTAAACAGTAAAAACTGTTCATGATAGTTATGTCTTTTTTTTTTTTTTTTTTTGAGACAGAGTCTCATTCTGCCACCCAGGCTGGAGTGCAGCTGCACGATCTCGGTTCACTGCAACGTCCACCTTCCAGGTTCAAGCGATTCTCCTGCCTCAGCCTCCCAAGTAGCTGGAATTACAGGCACATACCACCACATCTGGTTAATTGTTTGTATCTTTAGTAGAGACAGGGTTTCACCATGTTGGCCAGGCTAGTCTCAAATTCCTGGCCTTAAGAGGTAGATGTGAATCCGCCTGCCTCGGCCTCCAAAAGTACTAAGATTACAAGCATGAGCCACCGCACCCAGCCCATTTATGATACTTATATCCAAGTGGTGGCATTAGTCATAATTTTGTGTTCAATTTGTAATTGCTAAATTCTCAACAATCAAGGTATTTTGTTTTATAAAGAACAGTCCATTTGTTCCTTTTTCTAAAACTCTTGATTTATTCTGAGTTTTTTTTAATGGGGGCCATGTATGCTAAAGAGTAGATGTACCAAGAAATGTATTTATTTTCAATATTGTTCCCATGTGCACTTTTATTAATAATAATAATAACAAAAGATAGTAAAGAAATTTACTTTGGACAGAACTATAGCTTAATTCTTTTAGAGACTGAAAGGGAATATACTGCAGGCTTCCAAGTGGCCACAAATTGATTCTCACAGTGGCCACCAGGGGTCCTTACCCCGCTGCCTCGTCCAAGTCACTCACCACAGTAGTAAGCTGCAAGGCCTGGCCAGTTCTTGTGCAGCCATGACTGGTTTTGTGTAAATATTAACTTTCTCTCTCTTTGATTCAAGCAGTTCACTGGAATGACTAGTAAGCCTCCTTGTGCAAAGTCACAATATACAGTTTCAGAGAAAAGAGAATGTTCTCGTACAGCAGTTTTAAAGTGCATTATTTTAAGGCCGGGTGCAGTGACTCACGCCTGTAATCCCAGTGCTTTGGGAAGCCAAGGATTGCTTGAGCCCAAGAGTTGAAGACCAGCCTGGGCAACATAGCAAGATCCTGTCTGTATAAAAACAAAAATACAATACAATACAATAAAATGCATTATTTAGAGCCCATATCGCAAAATTGTGATTCAGCAGAGCTGGGATGGGACCAAAGATGCCGCATGTTTCACAGCTCCCCGGGGGATGAAGATGTGCAGCCAGAGGTGGGAACTACTCCCTACTATTAATAGATGGCACCAGCACCCTCTGTGGCATAGGGAACAATTCAGACTGCTGTTTCCATTCCCAACTTACCATCACCATGAAATAGAAAAGAACCCAAATGTCAGCCTTAGTTACTTAGTCAACACGAGATAATATGATGTGAATATTAATGATGGGCCAATAAATGTTTCAATTGCAAACTGGATAAATCTACCAATCCTGTGCTAACATAAGAATTTTAATTTCCCTAAATAATCCTTGGATTCCTCAAATTTTTATTCAGTTTCTGTGGAACCATAAACCAATTTAGAAGCAAATTCGTGAGCATCCATGTAGAGTCATGGGTATTTAAATTCTGAACCTTAATAAAACCATAAAAGTCAGCTCTGCCATTAAAAACTCCACTTACCTTTGCTGTTTCATAAGAGAGTCAAAACCAACAGTCTCCACAGGTTTATTTCCAAGTGTAACAATTTGTTCTTTTCTATCTTCCTCTGGTCCATCTTCTAACACATAGCGGTTCTTAATTGCAGTAAGAAAGTCTGTTCCAAAATTTACCTTATTCGGACGAACAAAGGATCCTCCTGTTGGGTGCCTGGTAAGGAACAGCGAATGAAACACAAAATATTACCCACCAAGAAAGGCCACAAATGCAATGTTCTGAAGGTCTCCAAAAATTTATATATGCTAAAAAATCAAAATTAGCATAAAAGAGAATATCACATACTAAATAATATATAATCAGTATGATTGACCATAAAGGGTTATGATTTTATGCAAGCATGTTAAATCCCTCTAGATAAACTAACAAGTAATATGAAACTGATAATTCACAGTAGAAAAAACAGAACCATTCAATCCATGGGAGTGGCCAGGCATGGTGGCTCACGACTGTAATCCCAGCACTTTGGGAGCCCAAGGCGGGTGGATCACCTGAGGTCAGGAGTTCAAGACCAGCCTGGCCAACATGGCGAAACCCTCATCTCTACTAAAAATACAAAAATTAGCTCGGCATGGTGGTGCACACCTGTAGTCCCAGCTACTCGGGAGGCTAAGGCAGGAGAATTGTTTGAACCCGGGAAGTGGAGGTCGCAGTGAGCCAAGATCATGCCACTGCACTCCAGCCTGGGTGACAGAGCGAGACTCTATCTAAAAAAATTATAGGTGGATTATATACAAAATCTTTTATTTATTTATTTATTTTTTATTTATTTATTTATTTTGGTAACAGAGCAAGACTTTGTCACTTAAAAAAAAGAAGAAGAAACAGGGAACTCTATAAATTGCTCAAAATTGTATTATAAACACTATTTCAGGCCAGGTACAGTGGCTTACAACTGTAATCCCAGCACTTTGGGAGGCCGAGGCAGGCGAATCACGAGGTCAGGAGATTGAGACCATCCTGGCTAACAAGGTGAAACCCCGTCTCTACTAAAAAATACAAAAAATTAGTCGGGCATGGTGGCGGGTGCCTGTAGTCCCAGCTGCTCAGGAGGCTGAGGCAGGAGAATGGTGTGAACCTGGGAGGCAGAGCTTGCAATGAGCCGAGATTGCACCACTGCACTCTAGCCTGGGCAACAGAGTGAGACTCCGTCTCAAAAAAAACCAAACAAATAAACAAAAAAAACCAAACACTATTTCAGCTTATAATCATTACTTTTTTTTTTTTTTTTTGAGACAGAATCTCACTCTATTGCCCAGACTGGAATGCAAGGACGCAATCTTGACTCACTGCAACCTCTGCCTCCTGGGTTCAATCTACTCTCCCGCCTCAGCCTCCCAATTAGCTGGGACTACAGGCATGTGCCAATATGCCCAGCCTAATTTTTGTATTTTTAGTAGCGACAGGGTTTCACCATGTTGGCCAGGCTGGTCTTGAACTTCTGACCTTAAGTGATTCTCCAGCCTTGACCTCCCAAAGTGCTGGCATTACAGGTGTGAGCCACCAGGCCTGACCTAATTTTGTTTTTTATTTTTTTTTAAAGAAAGTGGGTCTCACTCTGTCACCTAGGCTAGAGTGCGGTGACGCAACCATAACTAACTGCAGCCTCCAATTTCCAGGGCTCAGGCAATACTCCCTCTTCAGCCTCCCACGTAGCTAGGACAATAGGCATAAGCAACCATGTCCAGCTAACATTTTTTGTATTTTCTTTAAGAGACAACATCTCACTATGTTGCTCAGGAGACAACCATTAACTCTTGAAGAAAGAAATCAGACGTTCTTAGAAGTCACCATAATTTTGGCCAGGCACGGTGTCTCATGCCTATAATCCCAGTAATTTGGGAGGCTGAAAAGGGCAGATCACCTGAGGTCGAGAGTTCAAGACCAGCCTGACCAACAAGGAGAAACTCTATCTCTACTAAAAATACAAAATTAGCCAAGCGTGGTGGCGCATGCCTGTAATCCCAGCTACTCGAGAGGCTGAGGCAGGACAATCGCTTGAACCCGGGAGGTGGAGGTTGCAATATGCCAAGATCATGCCATTGCACTCCAGCCTGGGCAACAAGAGCAAAACTCCATCTCAAAAAATAAAAATAAAAAAAGTCACCATAATTGAAAAGGATGAAAACTAGTATTTGTGATAAATTTTGTTAACATAGACATACATACAGTTTTTTCTAGGATGTGGGTTCACAGTGATGACCAGACTCTAAAAGGAACTTGTGATCCCAAAAACTTAAAACCAATCCCCACCTGGGAAGAAGTGGCCGGGAGGGAGTTAGAAACAGAGAGTGTGGGCCAGGTGCGGTGGCTCACCCCTGTAATTCTAGCATTTTGGGAGGCTGAGGCGGGCAGATCACCTAAAGTCAGGAGTTTGAGACCACCCTGGTCAACATGGTGAAACCCTGTCTCTATTAAAAATACAAAAATTAGCCGGGCGTGGTTGCTGGTGACTGGAGTTTCGCTACTTGGAAGTATGAGGCAAGAGAATCACTTGAGCCGGGAGGTGAAGGTTGCAATGAGCCAAGATCACATCATTGCACTCTAGCCTGAGCAATAGATAGAAACTCGAGGAGGGGAGGGGAGGGGAAGGGAAACTCGGAGAGTGTGGTGTCCTGGAAACCAATGAAGAAAGTCAACAACCATGTCCACTGCTAAAAACAGGTCAGGTAAGGTAACAGCTGAGGCCTGGCCACTGAATCCAGCAACATGAACATAACCTTTCCTACAAGCAGTCTGGGTGGGGCAATGGGGCAAAGCCCAGTGGGGGTGAGTTCCAAAGACTGGGAGGCAACTGAGCACAGCCTACCGTTGTCCTGAAGGGGCACAGGGGTCAAAGAAGGGAGACTGTTTAAGACAGGAGAAAATATCCACCTTGTATGTTGATGAAATTAATTCCGTGGAACAGGGGGAAGCTGATTATGCAGGAAATTAAAATCTCTTTTGTAGCAAAATTAAGTCCCATAGTTCTCTCATGGCTTATACACACACATCAGTGGTTTGTTTCTGTAAGTTAAACATATTTCTTAAGTTAAAAGCCTAGTTTACTGGCTGCTCTGCCTATGGAGTAGCCATTCTTTATTCCTTTACTTTCTTAATAAATTTGCTTTCACTTTATGGATTCCCCTCAAATTCTTTCCTTTGCAAGATTCTAGAACCCTCTCTTGGGGTCTGGATCAGGCCCCTTTCCGGTAACATCTCTCTGGCGAACCACAGAAAGGATAATACTGAGGAGACCCGCCCCCCAGCCCAAAGGAAATAAGACTGCAGCACTGACTGGGTGACCTTGGGACACAATTGGAGAAACTGGTTATTTTACCAAGGTTTTAACTGGAATGGCGTGTGTTCCTTTAAGGAATCAAACTTGGCTTATAGAGTCAATAAAAGCCCCTTGGGAAAACTGGCCTCATTCCTTGTCTACACAGTTCCTGACCTGTGTCCCACAGGCCTATGGAACACAAAAGAATGATCCCACCTATTCCTGTGAACCAACCAGTGATCTCTGGCTGCTGCTCAGAAGAAACAAGAGAGATGGGTAATGTTATTCTAATTCTGGGCACATATTGGAATTGGCTAGTGACTACTTATTAGCTTGATTTCAACAACTGCGCAGTTCATGGAAAACCTTCTAATTTAGTTTACTTGGGATAATTTTACTTTTTTCATTTTGCTGTTGTGAAATATATTGCTGTGATTATACTCTTTGTGTAGGAATGCAGGATAAGCTTACTAAATGTTTTCTTAAACTGAACACTTAGTAATCTTCCAGATATCACCTTTTGTCGGAACTCAAGAGTTAAGAATGGCCTTCGCCATACCAACGCTTTTGAACTGAGCTCCTCTCTACCCTGAATGCAAGAGACCCAACAGTTAGGCAGGGACATCATCACCCCTGTTCAGCATAAAGAAGTTACAGAAGGTGAATCTTCATCCCTCTGCAACCCTTAGGATTAGGGTTTTCTTATAAAAGGAAGGGGGGAAATATGTCAGAGATGTCTGAACCAGAGCAACTCCATCTTGAATAGGTGCTGGTTAAAATAAGGCTGAGACCTACCAGGCTGCATTCCAGTTTGTTAGGCATTCTAAGTCTCAGGATGAGATAGGAGGTCAGTACAAGATACAGGTCATTAAAGACCTTGCTGATGAAACAGCATGCAGTAAAGAAGCCAGCTAAAACCCACCAAAACCAAGACGGAGATTACAGTGACCTCTGGTCATCCTCACTGCTACACTCCCACCAGCGCCATGACAGTTTACAAATGCCATGGCAACATCAAGAAGTTACCCTACTTGGTCTTAAAAGGTGAGGCATGAATAATCCATCCCTTGTTTAGCATATCATCAAGAAATAACCATAGAAATGGGCACCCAGTAGTCCTCAGGACTGTTCTGCCTATGGAGTAGCCATTCGTTATTCCTTTATTATTATTATTATTATTATTATTATTATTATTATTTTGGAGACGGAGTCTCACTCTGTTGCCCAGGCTGGAGTGCAGTGGTGTGATCTTGGCTCACTGCAACCTCAGCCTCCCGGGTTGAAGCATTTCTCCTGCCTCAGCCTCCTGAGTAGCTGGGATTACAGGCGTGCAACACCACGCCTGGCTAATTTTTGTATTTTTATAAATACAAGAGAAAAGGTAGAGAAAAGGTCTCACCATGTTGGCCTGGCCGGTCTCGAACTCTTAACCTCAGGTTATCTACTTGCCTTGGCTTCCCAAAGTGCTGGAAGTACAAGTAAGCCACCGCGCCTGGCCCTTTTACTTTCTTAATAAACTTGCTTTCTCCAAAAAAAAATCCTAGTTAACATATATGTTCTTAAAACCAGGGGTGGGGATGGGGGAACAGGGATGGAGGCAATACAAACACAAACCAGGGTTCAACTCCTGGCTGATTACTTACTAGCTATGTGACCTCAGGCAGCTGAATTTACACCTCAACCTAAATTACCTCATCTATAAAGCCCTCTCAAAAGAGCTTATTTATAAAGATTAAATAAGCCATCTACTTTATTGCCTGGCACAAGCACTAACTGCCCTTTATGTATAGTTACTGCATCTGATATAATAGTACTGAAAATAAACTGGCCAGGTGTGGCAGCTCACTTCAGGAAGCCGAGGCTGGAGGATCCCTTGAGACCAGGAGTTTGAGAC